GTTTGTATGGGGAACAGAACGGAACGGACGCGAACGGTCGTATCCAAACAGACCCTAGCGGGGTTGGACGGTTGCATTGCTGGCGCCATGCTGCACACAATCCGATAGGGCAATGTCGTCGTGAGGTCGGGTGCCAGCATGCTCGTCTGAAGACATTGGCTCCCAGTAGACTAGCTACCGTCGGCAGTAACACTGCTTCGCTTCACAAGATGTTTGGTCTCCAAGATTATATAAGCGATATGGCAGGGCTCACTCAGCCCCGCTCTTAGAGCAGGGAAGATATTGGCACAATCCCGTCTCAACTCCGGGACCGAATGCCTCTTCTCGAGTGCCAGACGAACACTTCACCTCGACAGGAACTTACCGGCAGTCTAGACCATGTTCCCTTTCCGTCTCAATTTGGAGTCATCTTCTCTTTGCCTTCTCCCCTCATTGGCGTTGTGCGGTGGTCAATTTCGGGCTATGTTCTCCACTTTCTCTTCCCAGATATCCATAGGCCACGGACAAACCTTTTCCATGGGCGGCGTCTCTTCAACGGAAGGCTGGCCAGGTGTTAATCAGCTGGTGAACCTTGTGCTTCTTGAGCGCACCTCACCTTCCGGGGTTTAAACTATCGCTGTAGGCAACCCTTCGATACTGGTAGGATAATGCCATCCCCCGCGCCTTCCATCCCACCCCCGACTACCACCCCTCATCGAATTTTCCTCTCTACCACCCGCCCTATTTTATCTCACTCATGGCCCAGGGCCAAATTGCAAAAACATCACCAAGCACAGCGCGCTGACGCAGCCACCGGATCTTCCAAATGACAAATGACACCGCCAGCGACTATGGGGAACCGTCTTCCCCGGGTAGTTAGATCATCAACTCTTCCAGTTATTCAAACTCTTTCTTGGAACTGTGGCTAGTGCTCTAACTGTGAGAATTTTATTCCATTCAAGACAGGCTTCCCTGGCTACGGCGGAGAAAGGGCAAACAGCAACTGCAATACCCTAACCGACCTGCCATTGTTGAACACACTCCCCTAGATTCCCACGTGCCAGAAAATGTTGAAATCTCCTCTTGGTGCCAGTTCCGGATTCTCTGCGGTAGCCGGAGTTCAGGGCCACTTCCAGCCCCTACCTCACCTATCCTGTTAGGCCATCCAAATCCCACTCGAACCCCATCTCTTCCCTTCATATCCGGATTCCGCTCCCCCCACTGCACTTTACTCTCTCTCATTCATGATTAATCACCACCTCTGTTATCGCATTATACCGCCCGCTACTTACCACCCATACCTGACCTTCTAGCATAATAGCCGAAATCTCTCGACTGGGTTCTCTGTCGCCGAATGAAAATGTATCCGGCCTATGTCCGTGTTCTCGGAGGTCTAGGGAGGGTGTCCCATTTATGCCACCTTACCCTATTCAGGTAACCAAGCGTGTTATTGGCCAACCTAGCAATCTGTTTTTGCTCCCCCTACCACTGGTACCCGCTGGTCTCGTCCCCCTTCTCTCATTTTTCCCTGCCACAAACAGCATGGTTTACCGTTGACCGCTACCCCAATCTCGCTTAGTCTTCCAGCAAGCTGCCACCGCAGGCTTCACAAATACTAACGGACGTCATCACCGCCGACTCCTATAAGACCTACAAGGCTTCTCGTCTTTCTTGTACCCGCTCTAGGGCATCGTGGTATACAGTGGGGACCATCTAGGGCCCACCGCTTGTCTTCCTTAGAGTTTCTTCAATAGTCAGACTCCACTAGTTTTGTGCCTCATACTTTGGACTTCCGATTATATGAGCGATTGTCCAAATGGAGTAACTAGGGCAATAGCCCCACCGGCGCATCACCAGAGCCTACTTCCCCAGCTTCCCGATCAACCTGAAATCTGGCTCCTTGCCGCCCTCACCCGGTACCACCCCCTGTTGGGAGTCTATGGGCGACTGGGGATGATACAGTGTGCATTGAGAGTGTATAGGCGATGGTGGATGCCAGTGTTGTGATGTGCATCAGCCGCAGCGAAGGTGTTGAATGTTCATGGATGATGGTGCTTGGTGCGCTGCGGATCATTGGAAACGAGGATTTGGATAGTAGGAGAGCTGGAGGTTGGAGTCAGCAGTCATGCTGTTCGAAGTCTTGTATTTGGCTTGCAGGCACTCTCCTGAGAATAGTAACGAAGTTGCTTCCTCTTGCACCACCATCATTTGTTTGTCCACCGATCCCACCTCACAATATATATTGCTCCCGACAACTAGGCCTGCTACCAAGCTCAAAGTGATACCGAAACTCGTTCCCCGTTGGGTTTTAGGGTATGCCAAGAAAATTTCGCCAGTAGTTGACCATAGTAGGGAAGAGCACTTCCACTAGACTTAATGTGGGGAGTACTCAGGCAACCGCCCTGGTGTCCTGATTCCTGAACCTGCCTGGGGGGAGGAACGGAAGTTATAGTGGTCAAAACATGGCTGCTTTGGACTATGATAGGTTGCAGCCACCCCCTCCTAAATTCATTTGATACGGCGGTCAATATTCATAGGGGGTGGGTATGCGTCACAGTTCTGGACCTGTCAGGCTGCCCACGGGATCTAATGATCTACTGCCTCAGAGCGCGTGTACCACCTATGGTGGACTCACGGGGGCGCTTGGTATTTCCGGGGAAGAGTAAACGGGATGCCCAATATAGGGAACTTCGAGCACCGGGAAAATCTTTGGGTCATCCGACACTGAAATCACGGTATTTGGACAAGGTGCCAGAGTCCTCGAGTCTGACAACACGGCTGAGGTGTCTGGTGGTGTCCGAGGTTCATGCACTGCTCCGATTTCAAGTTACCGGTAGAATTTATGCACGAAAAGAAAGAAGTTAAATCTCCCCAACCAATTCCAAGGTTACGAATCTTTTCTAATTAAGTGTTGGTCCCACTTGCCCCGGTAGCACCTAGAGGACAAAATAACGGACTGTGCTCTATCCAACTTTTTTAACTGTTCAATAACTCCCTCAGTGCATTTCTCATGTGTCCACAAAGGTTTACCTGAGTTAGCCCGGTTCCGGTTCGTTGTGTTGAGTCCGGCTGGGTGGGGGGCAACTCTGCTTATTTTCAATGCTGGTTGAGGAATTAGGAGGCTTGCCTTGTTTCAATTCATATGTTTCATCAAATTTTTCCTGGATGGAGCTTGGTACCGGGATAGGGGATTCTATGCATTACAGTGCCACACTCTTGAAGCAAGTCACAACCACTCGTGTATTGCCAAGATACCTATGGCGTGATATGGAGAGAAAGAATGAAAATATACAAAGAGTAGAAAACCAAGACAATCAATCAATCCTCCGAGAACGAAGAAGACTCCTTTTCCTACACAGCAGCCCGCTCTACAAACCAACATGCATGGACTCTATTCTGCTCGGAGAGGGAGAGATGGAGATGGAGAAAGAAATATAGAGGAAAGGGGAAGAGGTAAGCTCCGAGGGCCGATTCCAGTATCCACCAAGACGGGGCCAAACTGGCTAATAAATGAATTGGTAAACTTCCTGACTCTTCTAGCAACAACTAAAGCAATACTTCTCAAGTTACTGCTTCTATTGGGGAGTCATTGGATAGGTCGGTGTCTTGGGCGTAAGTATAGATGTATCCACCAACTAACCAGCACACAATCAGAGATGTAGTCAATTCTTGTATCCAAACCGGGGAATAATAATAGAGATTGGGTCAAACAAAAGTCAATTTGTGTCGAAGATTATATTATGGCATTCAGTGTACGCCGGCGATTTTTGTAAGGTGGAACAGGGGACTGTGTCGGGGGCATTGAACTGGATGCTGGATAAATGCGATCGCGAGATAGTGAATTTGGAGAGGTCGGATGTGCAGCGAGGGCAGTAAATCCAGGTTCGTAAATTCGGGTGAACTCCTGGTGCGGGGATCAGAAATTTGGGAGAAAGTCGTAGAAGTCTTGGAGAGCAGTTGGCAGAAGAAGGGTGGTTAGGATTCAGGAAACAAGCGGTTGGTTGTTCCGGGTGAGCAATCAAGCATAGTCGTGGGGTGACGGACTACCGGGGATGTGGCGCGTGTATGGAGCGGTAGCAATGAGTAATAGTGGCAAAAGAAAAAAGAAAAGGGGAGGGAAGAATGTGGGGTACAATAGGGAAAGCATAGAGAATTGGTGGCGGCTTTCGCAATAGGATATTGAAGTAGCCTACAAAGCCCTGACCGGCTATGCTGCGTGGGTCTTGCTAGGAAAATTAGAGATTTGGATCTGCCCCATGCTCGAGAAGAAGCTGGGGAATCGATTCACAAGGAAATTCTTTAGCTGCTCGCAGTGCATTGCCATACTTGCCACCCTGAGCATGGACCTCTGCCCCACGGGCGAGGAGAAGCGGTGCAACCGATTCGTTTCGCCCGTGTGTGCAGCGGCTTGTAGTGCAATGCCATACGCCCCACCCTGAGCATTCACCTCCGCCCCACGCTCGAGGAGAAGGCGCACAACCGATTCGTTTCCCCGGATTTCAGCGGCCTGTAGTGCATTGCCACAACAGCCACCCGGAGCATTCACCTCTGCCCCACACTCGAGGAGAAGCCGCACAGTCGATTCGTTTCCCTCTCTTGCAGCTGCTTTTAGTGCGTTGCCAAACTCGCCACCCTAAGCATTCACCTCCGCCCCACGCTCGAGTAGAAGCCGCACAACCGACTCTCTTCCCTCTCCTACAGCTGCTTGTAGAGCATTGCCATACGTGCCACCCTGAGAATTCACCTCTGCCCCATGCTCGAGGAGAAGCTGCACAACCGATTCGTTTCCC